AGTGGGGTGCTGGTGGGGCTGGGAGCTCGGGGGAGCTGGGAGGGAACTGCTCGTGGGGGCTTTTGGGGAGCTGCTTTCTGGGCCCTGGGAGGGCTGGGGGGTGATGTCTGAGGGGCTGGGGGCTGTCCGGGGGGAGCCGCCCCCTCCCACAGCCCAGCCCCCGCGCTCCCAGGTGCTGGTGACTTTTGAGGACGTGGCGGTGCACTTCAGCAGGCAGGAGTGGGAGAGCCTGGACGACGGGCAGAAGGAGCTGTACAGGAGCGTGATGGAGGGCAACTACGAGATGCTGGTGTCCCTGTGTAGGCTCCGTTTGCGCTGGTTTGGCAGCCACCGTCGCTGCCCGGGGAGCTCTCTCGGGGTTACTTTTCTGCCTCTCCGCGTTTCACTGCGATCTCCAGCCCTCAAATGATCCTCTCAATTCCCTGTCCCCTCCGGCAGTGGTCGGAGGGCGCAGGTACACGCAGGAGCGGGTAGTAAGTGCTGGGTGTCTCCTCCTCGTAGAGAACAGGTACACTGAGCTCTCTGGGTTGTCGTCACAGAAATTCCCTCTTTTCGTCACAGAAATTCCCTCTTCCAAGTCTGTCTAGATCCTCCTGTGGTTTCCTGTCGGCGTGGCGGATGTGCCACCCGTTTGGCCTGGCACGGGGACCGAGGCTGGTCGCGCTGCCTCGTCGCGGGGGGAGAGCTAGGCAGGCGAGAAGATCTTGCGGGGCAGCCTTTGGGGTGATTCTGGCTGGATTTTTGAACGTGTGGCCCTCGCAGCTGGAAATGAGCTTTCCAATAAAGTCTGCTTGGCCTCGATGATCTTAAAGGTCTTTTCCATCCTAAGTGATTCTCTGGCACCCCGCTTGGCCCAGCCAGGGCCTCGTCCTCGTAATTAATGCTTTCCATTGCTCAGACGATGGAGCGGGGGCCTGGGCTTCCCCGCCAGGGCTGCCCCCTCTTGCCGTGGGGCTCCCCCGCAAGCGCAGCCTGAGGAGCAGGGATTTCCCCCCCGCGGAGCAGGGGTGCATTTTCTGGTGTCAGATGTGCCGGAGGGGGCTTTTCAGGTCCCCCCCTAGAAGCGCTGCCTGCGGCTCCCTGTCTGTGTCCGTAACTCCCCGTGTGCCGGCACTGACTGCCCCGGTTGGAGATGGAGTTTTTCTGGGCCGGGACTGACTCTGTGTTGGGTGCCCCCGCAAAGACGCTGTCGCATCTCGCCTCTGATGCCTGTCTTGCTCTTGCACAGACTGTGCCCTATCCAAGCCCGAACTCTTATCTCGGATCGAAAGAGGAGAGGAGCTGTGCACGCCGGCGGAGTCAGACACGGCCCCGGAGCCAGCCGTAGGTGCGTGACACCGGGTTTCTTCCATGCCGGGATCCTGGCTCCTGGCCGCTTACCGGGATGATTGCAGTCCCTGCCCTCAGCCGCAGGGATTGAGGTGTCTCCCGCGATGGCTGGGCACGGTCTGTGCTGGGAGAGGACACAGGGAACGTGCTGGGACGCGGTGATAGCCTGGAAGCCCTCCCCTGGCCCAGCAGCGTGCTGCAGGGCTCCTGATGCCTCGGGGGCCGGGGAGTGGGGGACACCCACCCCTGCGCTTGCTCCTCTGAGCTCCCAGCTGGCTGCCGGTAACGCCGAGCGCCCTTCTCCTCCCCAGAGCCAGACCGCCCGAGCTGCGCGAGCGATGATGGTCTGCTGGAGATGAAGACAAGGGAGTCTCGCGAGGGGAACTGCAGGGACCCAGAGGAAAGCAGGAGCCTGGCGGTCACAGCAACCTGCAGCGCACGTGAGTGGCTGGCAAACCCAGCTGCCGCGAGGGCTCCTGGGCCCCGCCTGGCTGCATCTCACCCAGGTCGTCACCACTCCTCTTGCCTTCGCAGCGCACATCCCTCACGAAGCCTCCGCTGTCCCCGCGGATCTCAGCCAGCCAACCCCGTCCCCGTCCTGCCCTCTGTCCGTGTGTTGTGAAGCGGTGAATCTGAACCGGTCTCCATCGCCTTCCCCCGCAGCAGGTACTGGGATAGAGCCCTTCATCCCTCCGTGGCGGGGCCGGCGGCCTGGGGGAGCGCCGGCACGCTCAGAGAGCCGCAGGAGGTTCATGCGAGGCTCTCTCTGAGCCTGGGGCTTTCAGGGCAGGGTTTTACATGCTTCAGACAGGCCAAGAAAGGGTTCTGGCAGTAAATTCTGTTGCCAGCCTTGAAACCATAAAGGACGAGGCATGGCACGGTGTGAACCAGCCCACCCGGTCGGTTTGCTTGGAAGGACGAGCCCCCGTGTGTCTGTTAGACTCCCCCCATCCCACCTAAGTGACGTTTGTCATCTCGAACCGCCCCCGGGGTGTCGTGGGGACGAGCCGTGGCAGTCCGGGTGTGCAGAGGCTGAGCGAGAAGGGGAGAACGGGGCTGGGGCTCGCGCTGGCTGCTGGCTGGGGAGGGCGCGGGAGGTGAGGCGGGGGCGGGAGGAAAGGCTCTTGCTGTTCATGCCTTGTCCTCAAAACCGTGTGGAAGAGCGATGTTTGGGTTCTGAAAAATTTCCAGCAGATGCCGAGGTGGAGATCCCAACGGAGGTACCGCAAGAGGAGGTCGCTGTGGAGAAGCCGGCAGTGCCTGAAACGCCCTCGAAGGGTCTGGAAGAGGACGTGAAAGATTCAGGGAACGGTGGCCAGGGAGCGGAGGAGCCAGGGAAGGCGACGATACCAGACGTCTGCAGAGCAACGGCGCAAGCGGATCCCAGCTGCGCGGTCGCCTCCCCGGGAGAGCCGGTGGAGGGCTCCTGCGTGGGCCGGACGGCGGCCTGCCAGCGGAACTCCACCCGGGAGAAATTCTACTCCTGCCCCGTCTGCAGGAAAAACTTTCTGCTGAAGATCAACCTCGTCATCCACCAGTGGAGCCACAGCAACTGGGTGCCCTACGTCTGCGCGCACTGCGACCGGAGCTTCATGTCCAAGAAGAAAATGCGGCGTCACCTGCAGGCCCGGGCGGCCAAAGGGTTCTGCGAGCCCTCGGAGGTGGAGGAGTGCTCCAGCCGGGCGCCATGCCCTGCCTCCCAGCCCCGAGCCCCGAGCCGGGACTGCGGCACCGTGTGGGGGAAGCCCGGCCCCAACAGATACCCGCTGTCACCTGGGAAAATGATGTATACGTGCAACGAATGCATGGAGAACTTCTCCAGCCAGAGCTTTCTGATCCTGCACCAGCGCCGACACACTAACCACCACCTCATCCTCTGCCCCTGCTGCAACAGGAGCTTCACCTGGGTCTCTGACTTTGTCCGCCACCACCAGACCCACACGGGCGAGCGGCCCTACCAGTGCGGCGTGTGCCAGAAGACTTTCAAGCGGCACTACCACCTGAACGTGCACCAGAGGATCCACGTGCGGCAGGAGGGGCCGTACCGCTGCGGGGACCAGCTCCCCGTGCCACCGGCACCCGTTTAAAGTGCCGACGGGGACGCGGGGAGCGGGAAGCGTAGCAGGAGAGGGGGCGGGAAGCCGGGAGGTGTCCTCCCGGGGGCAGGAGGACGCTGTCGGATCTTCTCTCGCCCTCCTTGACCGCCGGCTTGCTGCTGTGGCGGAAGACTCTTCCCTTTTCTGGAGAGCGCCAATAGATGCTGTAGAAATCGGGATGCTTCCCGTGGCTGAACGTGGCTTCCTCCGGCTCCGGGGAGGGGGGCAGGCTGCATCCACTGGGAACGCTGGTGGGGTCCTCCCGGTGGGATGGGATGGGGGAGTGAGGCTGGAGGAGCACCGGGCATGGAGTAATGGGCAGGACCCGTGGTCCCGGTGTGGGGATGGGATGGGATGGGATGGGATGGGGACAGGATGGGATGGGATGCGATGGGGCTGGGATGAGATGGGGATGGGGACGGGAGGGGAGGGGATGGGGATGGGGATGGGACGGGATGTGGATGAGATGGGATGGGAGGGGATGGGGATGGGAGGGGATGTGGATGAGATGGGATGGGGTTGGGATGGGGATGGGCTGGGGACTGGGATGGAATGGGGATTGGGAGGGGCTGGGGACTGGGATGGGATGGGGATTGGGAGGGGATGGGATGGGAACAGGGATGGGGATGAGATGGGATGGGATAGGATGAGGTTGGGATGGGAGGGGATGGGGATTGGGATGGATGGAATGGGGAC